CTCTCTCTCTCTCTCTCTCTCTCTCTCTCTCTCTCTCTCTCTTTTCTCTCTCTCTCTCTCTCTCTCTCTCTCTCTTTTTCTCTCTCTCTCTCTCTCCATTCAAGGAGATGAGAGAGAAAATAGTGCCCCAAGATGATGAGAGAAAACACTGCCTCAACTTTCTGAAAAAGGACCCATCCCTGTAATTCCTCTGTAAAACCCCATAAAAACAAAAAGAACCCAGCCCCTCCTTCCCCCTCAACAATGTCTCCAAACCCCTTTCTCTCTCTACAAACCCTAATCTCTCTCTCTCTCTCTCTCTCTCTCTCTCTCTACAAACTTCTGAACCTTTGAAAAACCCCATTCAGAGCCACATCAAAGGCATCATCCAGATCTCCAATCCCCTTCTCAGGGTACACATAGAGAAGCTTAGGAATAGTTTGAATCACAGTCTCTCTCATGGCCTCCACTCTCTCTCTAGGCAAATCCCTCAGCACTTTCGCTATCTTGGTCCCATTCTTCACAGCATCTCTACTTATAAACACTGAATAACTTGTTGGCTCCTCAGGTAAGTGCCATTCATACTGCCAATAAGCTGTTCTCCTCCAAAAAAACACAGGAATTGAACCTGCAACAATAAAATAAATAATAATAATCAGAGTGGTAGTCACAATATGCAATTCTTCAACAACAATATAAAAATCTATTGAAACTGACACTCCCAATATGTTATTCTTCCAGAGAAAAAGAAGAATAAAGTAACTCCTTAACCCTATACCCCCCTGTTTTCCAAATAAAATAAGACTCCATGACGCTTTCCCCAATTAGTGATACTGACACTCCTGAAATCCCATTCTCCTTCACAAAATTGCTAGTCCATTCTCGTTTTGGCAAACTACAAATTGAAAAGATGTATTCGATTTTTCTATGAATGTTTCATGTACACATCATCATCATAGTTGAAACATTTTTTTAACTAATTGGGATCGGCTATACAAATCCCTATAACCATCGGCTACATGAATTTTCAGGCCGTGACACACAAAGAAACAGTGGTTTGGGGCTCAGCGAGTCGATTCGGACTCGGCTGAATAATGAATAGCTCGGCCTCGGTACCTGTCAAGGGGTATATGTGCTAACTTGCATTTCATAAAATACATTAAAAGATCATAAATTTTGTTAAAGAAACACCAATATATGTTTTTACAAATATATTTTTACACGATTTCCAGGTTTTCTATGATGATATGTGAACTATTCTTATTATACACTTTTTAACTTTTTTAACTTCTCTACAATTTCTTTTTATATACTTTCATTTTTTTCTTTTATTATTCCAAATAGTTGGGCTGGGAATAATACTTGACTTGGGATAAGGCTTCGACGATATTTCAAAGTGTAAATCAATTTTTTAATAATCCAAATTTTATATAATTTTTCCATCTTTTATAGGGTTTTAATGGTTTCTACCACTTATTTTAGTTTTTGCGGATTTTGATTATTTCTAATAACTTTTTACATTCTCTTTTTTTGTTTTTGTTTTTTTTTTTTTGAATTTTTGGGTCTATTTTGGGGTGTGCAAGGACCGAGTCTACTCTAACTCGGCCGACTAACCAAGCTCTGCCAGGTAAGAGTTCGAGGACCGAGCTGAGTTTCAAAACATTCACAACGGTACACTTCCATCATCGGAAACCTAGACACTTCTTCATCATCTTTCTCAAATCTTTTGTTTGGGTGAATGATCTTTTTCAAATCTACTCCCCATCCCCTTTGTAGCATCCTAAACTCAATTTCAAAATTGGCATTTGGAAACACTTATCCACAAAATACCTCATTCCTTTCTTAAAAGGTCGACATCCTATATGAACTTTTTTCATCTTAAAAATAATCAAAAAAAGAAAAGAAAGCTAAAATAAGGACACTGACACTCCCAATTCGCCAGATTCTTTAAAAATCAATCATGGAATCAAAGCTAAGATCAGATAGACACCGATAATGCTGATACATAGTTTCATCTCTGGAAACACAAAAGCAATGGTACTGATTCAATCATGGAATTAAAGCTAAGATCGTTGACACTGATAATGCTGATACATCTCTAGAGACACAAAAGCAATGGTACTGATTCAATCATGGAATCAAAGATAAGATCATTGACACTGACAATACTGATAACATAGTTCTTCTCTAGAAAGTAGAAACACAAAAACAATGGTAATGATACGTCCAACACACCATTCTTCTCCAAAAAATAAATGTATAAAATTGAGTAAAATTTTAATGACTAATAAAAATTGGAATCAAAGCAACAAGTATAATGACAGTGATATTATTCTTCTCAAAACAAAAAAAAAGAAAAAAAAGAAAGAGAAACAAACCTGCAATCATGCAATCGAAAATGGATCTCCGAGTAAAACTATCTCCTCTTGGTTGAAGGCAAAATTGGGAGCCAAGGAAAAGCCCAAGGGCGGGAGAGGAGACATTAGAGCACCGCCCACCCGAGCAATCAATGGCGCTGCAACTCTTTGATTCGGCGCACTGGTCGAGCAAAACCCCTCGAAAATCACCACGAATGGCTGATCTCTTAGCTCCGGCGAAAGAGAAGAGATCGGACCTCTTAGCTTTTCTCACATGTGACTGCCATAGCCGGATCTCAAAGGAGTTTTTGGGGTGAAAACCAGTGGGATAAGGAACTCCAACGTCTTTTTGGTCCCAAGGGTTTCTCTCAATTAATAAACGAGTAACATTTTTCATGGCAGGCATATGAAGGAAGCTTCCACCCCAGTCTTCATCCTTGGATCGCCTGAAATCCCAAGTAATTCGACCAAGCATCATGAAATGATCAGAACCCAATTTCCTTTTCCAAAATATCTGGTTTTCTAACCAGTTTAAAAGCAAATTGCTATGGTGGTCTCTCTCATCGGCTGAGTAATTGGACCATAGGTATTTTCCAACTGCTAAACCTCCATAGAAGGGGACGAAGAAAGCAGAGGCTGACTCTGGTTCAAGGGTTCGACACGGATGGCCGAGCATTCGAGCATGGAATATGAGCTCTGATGCGAATTGGTCGGTTTCAAACCATGAACCCTCGAGCTCAAATGGGACCAAGTGGGCTAACCCACTGGCATGGCGGCCGAACCCACCATTCTCTAACATCTTACATCGAGAGCCCCAAGGGCTCAGAGTCTCACAATTCTTGACAAGATCATGGTTAAATATTGGGGGCAAATCGTACACATATACGGTACTGGAATCGCAGACTTTGGCTGGAAATTTGATTGGAAAAGCTGGGTTTCCCGGTGATGGAATGGTTGGGTATTCATGGATTTGCAGAGATGGATTTTCAGGGGATAGAAAGGATGGGTTTTGAAGTTCAGGAGCCGATAAAGATGCTTTTTCATGAGACAGAACAGATGGGTTTTTCTCAGGCGAGAGAAGAGAAGGATTTTTTCCAAAGGAGGGAAGATAAGAGCTTTCAAGCGAGAGAATAGACGGTCTTTCACGGACGGGAAAAGGTGGGATTTGAGGTATTGGGGGCTCCTGATTTTCTGATGTTCCGGCAATAATTCCGGTGACTGGAGTTGGGTTTTCTTCATTCAGAGTCCCGCGGGCAGATAATTGAGTTTTTCCGGCAACGATTCCGGCTGCCGGAGAAGGGTGAGATGGGAATTTAATCAAATGTGAGCTTCGAATCAAGAGGAGGAACACAAGTTGCAGAGAAAAAATGGCGAAAATAAGCCACCGACCAGGGTGACTGGACATGTAGAGATAGAGAGAGAAGACAGCGCTTTTTACTTGGTCTGGGTACTTTGGTCTCTTGAGGAACTGATGTTCCCCGTCCATGGCGGCTCTGGCATACGAAATCGCCGGAAATTCGGTATCACTCAAATTTCCGGCCATAATCAGTTCTCAGGTCATTTCCGGCAATAGTTCCGGCAAAATACCGGTTCCAGAGCCGGTTTTTCAGGAGTGAGAAACAATGGAGCTAGGATTTCTGGTTCTTAAAGGGGATGAGAATAGCCGGAAAATTTCTCCGCGAAATTTACCGGCGCTCTTAGCCCACGCCCTCCGATGCGTGCGCCCTCATTGAATTCAACATTTAAACCCTAATACCACTAGATTACAACACGTGTGACGAATCGCATGGCTTATCACTAGCAACCGACACTCGGTGGTGCCTAAGAAAGACACGTGTCGGTCAGGGGAAACGGTTTCCTGTATCGTCTATGTACCGTTAGGACTCGTTGAGATTCCTGCACACGTGTTTGTACTGTATACCGTTGATTATAGCAAAATTTGCGGTTCAGATTTCTCCGGTCAATACGTTCCCCTCTCTCTAGTGCATGTTCACGTCAATCGGCAGCGCGGCCGGCGAAAAGGCAACCCGAAGGAGGAAAACTGTTCCATGCATTGGGGGCCGCATTTCTACGTTTGCGTCCCTGCAGGTATAAAGCATCGATCTTAATGATGATGTAAATGGGTGGTTTATTTAAAAACATTGAAACTAATGGCTCAAATGTTTTCTTCATAAATTTATTATTTTTAATTTTTAAATTTTATTTACTTTTACATATTCATGTTCTCCATGTTAAAGATTTATGTGTTCTTAAAAATCCTGTCCAAAATTCCATCTTAAAAATATAATTTTACTAGACGATTCATTTCTACATGGACTCATAAAAACCATTATGTATGAGAGTACTCATGTCTATACAAGGCCTCGACCTTAAACTAGCGAAGTACAGGCACCTCTAGGTCAGAGGCCCTCGCCTTTTGACTGGTGTTTATTGATCAAAAGTGAAGTAGCGGCACCTCAAAACTTCTCCAAATTGGAGAACCATTGTATCAATCATCTTGACCATGGGATGTACAAATAGAAAAAAAAAGAAAGAATTTGAAGTATTTTAGTACACAACTTATCTGTCTATTTGTATGATTTTAAAGTTTTTATAGACCTCATTAAGTATTATTTTTAAAATTTTATAACTAAGAATACAAATAGATTTTCAAATCATCAAAAAGTTTCGACACCCAAACTATATCTCCAAATGAATTTCGAGATGCACCTTACTTTTGTAATATGAAGAAGGCACCTTATAAAAACCTCACCCTTGTTTTTGCCCTTTGCTTTTTCTTTTTTCCTCGTAAATGTGGATAATGACCCTTTGAATTTGTTTGCCCAAGGAGGTGTGTTATTAGCTCGATGCATACGACATTAAAAGCCACCCGAAAATGCAAATAATATATGTTTTCTGTGTGAATAGTGCTGATAATATACGTGATTAGTTGGGATCAATATCTATTTTTTCGTTTAAAGTACTTTTTTTTTTTTGAAGTATTCCATATTCATAATTGTTGGGGTTGATATTATCGTTTTGATGATTTTCTTGTTCCTAAAGAGCAACTTTTGGTAAGATCTGAGTTATGGCTTTAAAGTGTAGGGATCTCGTGAACCCCTTACTTGTAGAAACAGGAATCTTAAATACCGGAGTTCCATCTAAGATCGTGTATTCAATCGGTCAAATGAAAAGTAGATGAATACAATTATAAATCGAATGCGATAAATAAAGCAAACATAAAAAGCACACCACAGCACGAGTGCAAAAAATAAAGCAAACATAAAAAACACACCACAGCAACACACGATTTACGTGGTTCACCTCATAAGGCTACATCCACAACTCAGCAACTAAAAATCCACTATCACAATGAATATTACAGTTTTGAGTTACAAGAGATAATACCTATATCTAAACATCGGTAAAAAACCATCACCGATCTTCCCTTCAAACCCACTCTCCAAACCAAGTAACACCGCCGATCAACGTCCTCTTTTCCACCGCAATACCGCTACTGGAAATATAACCTTGAGAGCAATATTGAGATTTTCTCTCTTTAAAAGTAGAAGTTAACCAACCAAAAACTCATGGGAATACCACCCCTTTTTCAGAAGTCATGTATCTCTCTTGGAGACCATCTCCATATTGGAAATCCATTCCCATAATCCCTAAATGGGTGACCCTCAAAAGACGGTTATTATGCCATCTTTTTTTCTCTAATAAAAATATCACTTTCTTGCTTCTCAAAAAAGTTAATTTTATATTTCTCATAATACCCTAATCTTTAGAAAAAAATATGGGTGTAGTGATTTGGCTATCATCAAACCTAACATAAGGAGTGGCGTTTTACTCTGACCTCTTTCGTTGGTTAAGGTGAAGTCCTTTTGTAGGATCTTAGCTTTGTAAAGCCGTTCATCAAATTTCAGTAGACAATAAAAATTTTTAATTAGAAAAATTTGTAAAAAGATCATTTCAACCTTGAATCATAGATATAAAGAGAAAATATATTTCAAACACTAAAAATAACGTATTTACAGTACTTTTTCCAAACTAGCTATTCCAAGAATCCACAATCCACCATATCATTTTTTAAGGAGCATCAAACTTCATAATCAAAGGCCAAAATAGGTTCTCAAGCACTAAGAGTTACCCGTGCCAAAAGTGCATTTTCATTTTCCAATGGGATTTTTTGGTGCAATTTTGCCTTTTTGCCTTAAAGCCTAGGGCATATGCCAGCTAAACCAAAAAAATGGGTAAGTGCTGTTTATCTTTAGAAAAGTTTACGGGGAGTCTCGGATTCATAAGTCCACTTACATTTTCATTTGATTTAGGGTGTAAATTACACCCTAAATGATTAAAAATATAGTTTTTAGGCTTGAAACAATCAAGATATATATTTAAAATGACATGATTGGAAGTAGTAAGAAAAGATATAAAAACTTATGGCCTCACTGAAGGTATGACTCTTCATAGAGCAGAATGATGCACTAGGATTCGTGTAGCCTACCTCAATTAGTTGGGATGATGATGATGAAAAAAGATTTAGATCTGATGATCTATGAAGAAGTGCAAAAATAATTTAATTTTTAAAATTTAAAAATTTTATTATTTTCATTAATGATCACCAAGGTTGATATTATAGCCCTCACTAACATGAATGATGGAGGGAGGATACATGTATAGCCTTACCTTTATAATTTCCCATTAATTATTGTTGTCTATTTTTGTTTTTCACAAATAATTATTTGCTGGCTTTTTTTTCTTTTTTCTTTCTTTGACGGTTATCCATTTCACTATTAATTGTCTTTTTTCGAGGGCGCGTATGATACAAACAACCAACGTGTTTGCCATCAATGAACCTTATTCGTTATTTTTGGTTTTTTCCTAAGTTTTAGGTCACAGATCATGTGCGTTTTCCTTGTCCTGTTTTGATCCGAAATTTCAACGAAAAGCTCGAAACAAAATGCAAATAGTTCCCTAAATTTCGGTGCGGAATACGAAATTCAGATGGAGTTTTGACAACCAATTACAACTGTGCATGAGTTTTAAATAGGGTCCGGACGATGAGTGGCTTTCTCATTTGTACTTCATATTTGATTAGTTTTTAGTTTCTTTTGAATATTGATCGATGTTTGAAAGAAGGGTTAGGCTTTGAAAAATCTAATTAGAGCCAAGAGATTGTTTTCATGCCGAAATATCATCAAATTTATCATCTCGACATCAAGATGCATGGATATGAGAAAAAAATGGATTTCAAGTTTTGAAAATAGTGCATCTTGTAAAACATTATTAGACTGTCAATTTTCAAGATTTTCATAAATCTGCCCGATTTACACTATTTTTTAAGCTTTTAATTTTATAACTAAAGATAAAAATATAATTTAATACTAACATAAAACTTTCCAGTACTGAAAGCATATTTCTCAACATTATTTGAAGGTGAGCTCAAATTTGATTGTTTGGAGCCTCGGCTTTATAACCGAGGTGCACCATTAAAATCCTTCGAAAAATGTTGTTTTGATGTTGAAAAATATCCAATTGCTTATTTGGATAACTAGACATTTAGATATGGAGAAAAAAAAAAAGATTTCAAGTTTTAAAATGGTACATCTTGCAACAAATTATCTGGACTGTCTACTTTCAAGATTTTCATGTGTTTATAGATCTGCTTTTTAATTATTTTTAAAATTTAAAATTTTATAATTAAAGATAAAAATAGACTACCACACCATCCTAAGAATTTTCGAAATCAAAATTACATATCATGTCAAAGTTTGGGTTGTTCTTAAATTTGGTTGTTTAAGGTAGCAACCTTATGCACACCACACCTACGTTTGAATCTTAAGCCCAAATTATGAATAGATTCTAAAACAAGAACGGAAAGGCTTTACGATAAAAAGCAAATATGCGAGTTTAAGATTATCCTTGATAAAACCCCCTTAGAAAGTGCAATTTTTGTATTGAAAAGTTAACTGATCATCTCAATCTCGACAATGTGGATCTAAACAAGCTCTTCATACAATGTCTTCTTAACACACTATCTAAAAAGTTCAAGCTTCGCAAACCTATCAGAATTGCATATTTTTTAGAACTTGAAATTTCATAATCAGAAGAAAAAATAGATTGACTGTCATAGAAGTTTCTAATACTGAAATTGCATTTTCCACAAGGTTTTGAGATGTAGGTTTGCTTTTAATCATAAAGCCTGATCCTCACACTAACAAAACTCTTTAGTCAAACAAGGCTTGGCCATCCTCAAACTGTTGAATGGAGACACAAGGATTATTAAGAATTGTTTAAGAGAAAATTTTCGTTAATTCCAAGTGGAATGACGTTTTACAGCAAGGCTTGGACAGCTTTCAAAGGGTCGGTTATGGAAATGAATCAGCATTGCTTCCCTACCCAAGAAACACAAAAAGGAAGTTTGAGAAGAGTTGACAATGGTGAAGTCTTTGTAACATTCAACGAAAGTAGGTTCGAACATAAAGGAGACATAGGGGTGGAAACATGTAAAGTCAGGCCGGGTCAAGTCCGGGGTTCGATCCGACCTGTCGGGTTCGATTTTTGGACCTGGATCCAGTCTACCCCTTGGGTCGGGTAATGGTCCATTGCCACCCCTAATTAGAGATACAAAGTGAAAATGGAATCCATACAAAACCATGAAACATTTGTTAGGCATGGCATTCTAAAATGATCCTTTCTAAAGAAAAGCCCAAAAAAAATTTAGTAATTAAATATATGAAATATTACTTCCCCAGAATTAGGTGCCCAACTATGA